AGCAGAAGATGGCCCAAGTCCTTGGGCCCCTGCACCCACATGGGAGACCCGGGAAAAGCTCCTGGCTCCTGGCTTCGGATCAGCATGGCTCCGGCCGTTGCAGCCATATGGGGAGGGAACCAGCAGATGGAAGACCTCTCTCTCTGTCTCTAACTCTTCTCTGTAACTCCGCCTTTCAAATAAATAAATAAATCTTAAAAAAAAAAAAAAAAAAAAAAAAAAACACCTCAGCCCTAGCCAACATCTTGAGTGCTCGGTGAGACCCCAATGCAGAGAACCTAGCTAAGATATCCTGACCCAACAGTCACTGAAAGGTAATAAATTTTGTGCTTTTTCCACTAAGTTTGTGGAAACTTGTTTAGCAGCGAAGAAACTAATAGATAGTATTCCACACTTAACACACCGAAAAGCCAAATTCCTGATTACCAACATCCCCCAAAAAGAAAAGCAAGAAAAATCAGGAAACAGCAACCCATTCTTACAGTTACCCAAGCCAAAAACTGCAGAGTTAAACTCAACTGTTTTCTGAAGCTCTACATACAAAAAAATTTTTTTAATTAAATTGTACATCTGATCCAATAACAGACATCACTGGCCTCACAAGCAAATCCAAAACTGACTTCATCTCATCACCACCACTGCTACATCCTGGTTCAAGCCACTGTCCACTCTCATGTACATTACTGTCAACGCCTAAAAAACTGGTTTTCTTGCTTCCACTCCAGAAAATAGTCAGAGTGATCTGTTGAAAATATTGGTCAGACAATGTTTTCACTTAAAATATCCCAGTGGTGGGGCTCGCGTTACATGGTGCAGCGGGTTAAGCTTCCACTTGTGACGCCCACATCTCATGCTGGGCACTGGTTCCTATCCCTGCTTCCAATCCTGCTCCCTGCTAATGTGCCTGGGAAGGCAGCAGAGAATCGCCCAAATGCCTGGGCCCCCTGTTACCCACATAAAAGACTCAGATGGAGTTCCAGACTTCTGACTGCAGCCTGGCCCAGACCTGGCTGTCTTGGTCATTTGAGAAGTGAAGCAGCAGATGGAAGATCTCTCTCTCTACCCTTTCTCTCTCTCTCGTCACTCTGCCCTTCAAATAAAAAGTATAATTTAGTAATAATAAAGACATATACATATGTGTATATATATAATCATAAACGTATATGTGTGTGTGTGCATGTGTACGTGTTTTTCCAATGGTTCTTGTCTCTCCCAGATTAAAACACAAGGATCTCAGTGGCCTACGAGGCCTACCCCAGGCTCTGCCTGCACTCATCCCTCCCCCGACGCCGGGGCCACTCTGCTGTCCCTTGACCATATCAAGCACGTATCAGTCTCTGAGCACAGACAGGACTTCTCTAATTAACTTGCATAGCAAGGAGACATCTCCCTGGCCCCAGCAACAATTCCCGCTCTGTCCTGCCCAGCTCTATCAGGTAAATATGTCAGCACATATCACCAGCTGGTATCTGTTCAGCTGCCGATAACTAAAAAAACTGCAGACTTTTGTTTCGGTGCTATGTCAGCTTATACTCAATTACTGTGTCAGACTCTGTCTCCCTACAGAATTTAGAGTCTAGTAAAGTATTTAAGCCACAAGAATTTGGATATAAAGCCAGTAACGTAATTTTTAAAACCACCATTAAGTGATTTACCATCTAGGAATTTACTTATTCCACCTCCACAAGTATGTTTCTGGAGACACTTAGAAAATATTCACAGGCCGGCGCTGTGGCTCAATAGGCTAATCCTCTACCTAGCGGCGCCGGCACACTGGGTTCTAGTCCCGGTTGCTCCTCTTCCAGGCCAGCTCTCTGTTGTGGCCAGGGAGTGCAGTGGAGGATGGCCCAAGTGCTTGGGCCCTGCACCCCATGGGAGACCAGGAGAAGCACCTGGCTCCTGCCATCGGATCAGCGCAGTGCGCCGGCAGCAGCGCGCTGGCTGTGGCGGCCATTGAACCAACAGCAAAGGAAGACCTTTCTCTCTCTCTCTCTCACTGTCCACTCTGCCTGTAAAAGAAGAAAGGAAAGGAAAGGAAAGGAAAGGGGAAAGGGGAAAGGGGAAAGGGGAAAGAGGAAAGAGGAAAGAGGAAAGGAAAGGAAAGAAAAGATTCACATCTAGGGGCTGGCGCTGTGCCTCACTTACTTGGTTGATCCTCTGCCTACGGCACCGGCATCCCATTTGGGCGCCGGGTTCTAGTCCCGGCTGCTCCTCTTCCAGTCCAGCTCTCTGATATGGCCAAAGTGCTTGGGCCCTGCACCCGCATGGGAGACCAGGAGGAAGCACCTGGCTCCGAATCGGAGCAGCACCGGCCATAGTGGCCATTTTGGGGGTGAACCAAAAGAAGGAAAACCTTTCTCTCCATCTCTCTCTCTCACTGTCTGTCAAATAAAAAAAATTCACATCTAAACAAAACTAGCTGAAATATAAAAATTAACTGAATTAAAACCATTCTGTAACCAACTCCATTGCTTGTTTTCTTAGGTGCTTTCTTAATTAATGATAAAACTGGTTCTCAAGAACTTATTTTCTTTTAATGTATTAAATGGAGGTCTTACATATCATAAATTATAGTTATGCCTAATTGCTCATAAAAGATGTATCATTCTTGAGGCTGGTGCTGTGGCACAGAAAGGTAAAGCCCAGGCCTACAGTGCTGGCATCCCATATGGGCGCCGGTTCCAGTCCAGCTGATCCTCTTCAGATCCAGCTCTCTGCTGTGGCCTGGGAAAGCAGTAGATCAACTTACTTGGTTGATCCTCTGCCTACGGCACCGGCATCCCATTTGGGCGCCGGGTTCTAGTCCCGGCTGCTCCTCTTCCAGTCCAGCTCTCTGCTATGGCCCAAGTGCTTGGGCCCCTGCACCCACATGGGAGACCTGGAAGAAGTTCCTGGCTCCTGGCTTCAGATCGGTGCAGCTCTGGCTGTTGCGGCCATCTGGGGAGTGAACCAGCAGATGGAAGACTTCTCTCTCTGTCTCTACCTCTCTCTCTAACTCTAATAAATAAAATAAATCTTTAAGAAGAAGAAGAAGAAGATGTATCATTCTTGTGTGCTTCTTTAAAGTTAATTGTTTCTCAAAAAAAAAAAAGAAGAAGTAAAATTAACTTTGAGATGCAATGACTCTGAACAGCCCTTGTCTCAACTGTTGAAGAACAATTTTTTTTTCCGTGCAAACTGTTGAACTCTTGACTCAGTATAATATGCTTTTGAGTATTCTCAAAAAAAGAAACATTCTGTAAAGGGCTCTATTAACAGAAAGCTAACCAAAAGACGACTCCACATTATTTTCACAGTACCACCTGGAGAAAAATATTGCTGTTATTCACCATACAGCCAAACACTAGGGAGGATGTGTCAGGGCTGAAGGAGCAGCCCTGTGGGCCCCTGCTTCTCACAATTTTTGGTCACAGACCCTTTTAGACTCTTGAAAATCACTGAGAAACAAAAAAACTTTCATTTATGTGGCTCCTATCATATCTAAAATCAAAATAAAACAATTATAAATATTCAACAGCCCATTTAAAAATAATCAAATTGATTATATGTTAGCATAAATTATACATTCCATTAACATAACTAGACTTTCTCAAAATCATTAGTGAGGGAAAAGGTTTTAACATTTCTGCAAATCCCTTTGATGTCTGGTTTAACAGAAAATAGCTGAATTCTCTTATCAAATCCTATGTTAAATATACTGCTCTCCATTGCGTTGGTTGAGATACATGAAGACATCTACCACAATGCAGTTGGAAATGTAAAGTGTTGTAAGTGGCCTTTTCAGAAAACTGTAGATATTGTTAGATAACACAGCGTAACTCAGCAAGCCATTGTTCTTATAGTTTATGTGCTATGCAGGTTCACACAGTCTAAACCTTACACATTCTTTTAACATTAAAATGCGTTGTTCTATCTTGCACTTTGAATGGGCCTCATACTCATGCATCAGTGCGTAAGATAACTTTGTATCTAAAAAGTCAGTTAGTGCTAAATTCATGAAGATGAATATAAGTTTTCTAAAATTCCAATTTTTTGCTTAAAAGTTCAAATCTTACCACTGCCAGCAAATACTGTCAGCTATTTATCTTGAAGTCTGTCAAGATGCATGGAATACACAGTCCAGAATAAAATATGTCAATCCTATAATATACAAACCTGTCATTTTACTTAAATTCTCTAACATGCTTATTTCCCAGTTCAGCAAAAAAATTTCCTATGTATTGTGATAAATCTGCTTATAAAGATCATTTATATCTCTGTCTCTCCTCTAATTCTGCCTTTCAAATAAATAAATCTTTTAAAAAATCATTTAGTTGGGCCGGCGCCGCGGCTCACTAGGCTAATCCTCCACCTAGCAGCGCCGGCACACCAGGTTCTAGTCCCAGTCGGGGCGCCGGATTCTGTCCCAGTTGCCCCTCTCCCAGGCCAGCTCTCCGCTGTGGCCAGGGAGTGCAGTGGAGGATGGCCTAAGTGCTTGGGCCCTGCACCCGCATGGGAGACCAGGATAAATACCTGGCTCCTGCCATCAGATCAGCGCGGCCGTGGCGGCCATTGGAGAGTGAACCAATGGCAAAGGAAGACCTTTCTCTCTGTCTCTCTCTCTCACTGTCCACTCTGCCTGTCAAAAAATAAAAAAAAAAATAAATTAAAAAAATTTAAAAAAATCATTTAGTCTGTTTCAAGTTAGCTCAAAAGTCAAATAATTTTTTCACTTTTATCTGAAGTGGCAACAAAATTAGACTGAAAAAAATGTAAAAATTGTGCATCATGTAAAGTCAAATCTGTTTCTTCATGTTTTGAGAAGTGCATACTGAAACAACTCTAACTATACTTTGTATAAAACAAAACAGAATGGTCTTGATATTTCAATCAAATCCACTTAAAGTCTTTTTCCTTGATTTTTTTCTATGAATATTAGTAATATTAGAACTAACAGATAAGTCTGCATACAGACAGCACATTCCCAACCAGCTCAATATCCTGGCTGTCCCCTGCCTTACCTGTTGAGAAATGTGAGCTCCCTGAACTGCTGAACCAGCTTGAGGCGCTGTCTCTGAAGCGTTACTCTTGTGGGAATCTTCCATAATCAACTACAAGAGAAAAAGTCAGTGAAAATAAAGGTGCTATAGAATACTACGCAGTCATGTCAAAACTGATCATCTGCTTGCGTCTATGGAACAGAACCGGTAGCTATGGTGTACAGAGGAGACTTTTCGGGGCTGGCGCTGTGGCTTAGCGGGTAAAGCCGCTGCCTGCAGAGCCGGCATCCTATATGGGTGCCGGTGCAAGTCTGAGCTGCTTCACTTCCAATCCAGCTCTCCTCTATGGCCTGGGAAAGCAGTGGAGGATGGCCCAAGTCCTTGGGTCCCTGCACCTGCGTGGGAGACCCAGAAGAAGCTCCTGGCTTCTGGCTTCGGATCGGCGCAGCTCCGGCCGTCATGGCCAACTGGGGGAGTGAACCAGCTGAAGACCTCTCTCTCTCTCTCTGCCTCTCCTTCTCTTTCTGTGTAACTCTTTCAAGTAAAATAAAATAAATCTTAAAAAGAGAGAGACTTTTCCTGGGATCTCATTTAAAAATTTGACCCACGATCTGCCGGCGCTGTGGCTCAATAGGCTAATCCTCCGCCTGCGGCGCTGGCACACCGGGTTCTAGTCCGGGTCAGGGCGCCAGATTCTGTCCCAGTTGCTCCTCTTCCAGTCCAGCTCTCTGCTGCGGCCCGGGAGTGCAGAGGAGGATGGCCCAGGACCTTGGGCCCTTGCACCTGCATGGGAGACCGGGAGAAGCACCTGGCTCCTGGCTTCAGATCAGCACGGTGCACTGGCCGCAGCGCGCAGGCCGCAGCGGCCACTGGGGGGTGAACCAACAGAAAAGGAAGACCTTTTTCTCTGTCTCTCTCTCACTGTCCACTCTGCCTGTCAAAAAAAAAATTTGACCCACGAGAACATGTTTAAATTTAATAAACAGCACATATATTCATCATTTACTATGGTTAATTTAAAATATTATTCCACTCAACAAGTATGACAACTTTCCTGGACACATGCATTCCCGTCTCTAGCTTAGAGAACAGCTTCCAAGTGCACACATAGTTTGACATTGAGAATTTACTGAGTAAAACCTGATCAAAAAATAAAACTGTGCGTATAGAGGTTACACGGATCCAAATGATTAACTGTTCAATATGCAGGCTGAGGGACCGGCATCATGGCGCAGTGTAAGGCTAAGTTGCCACCTGCAGCACCAGCATCCCGAATGGGTACTGGTTCAAGTCCTACTTGTCCCACTTCTGATCCAGCTCCCTGCTAATGTGCCTAGGAAAGCAGCAGAAGGTGGCCCAAGTACTTGGGCCCCTGTACCCATGTGGGAGACCCAGATGGAGTTCCTGGCTCTTGGCTTTGGCCTGGCCCAGCCCCAACTGTTGTGGTCATTTGGGGAGTAAACCAGTGTTTGGAAGATCTCTCTCTTTTCACTCTCTCTTTCATGTAAAATAATTTTTTTAAGAAAAGTAATATGTAGGCTGAGTAAGAATGAGAATAAATAGGTTATTTAAATATGATCAAATATGTAAATGGGGAGAGAACCATCAACAAAAAAGACTATTAAAGCATCCAAGTACAATTTGAGGTTTTTATGGTTATATGCAAAGATAAAAAGGGGGGGGGGGGGCCGCTGGCCAGCAAGCCTAAGAAGATGTTCAACATCACTAATAATTAGGAAAATGCAAACAAAAGTCACAGTAAGGCATCTTTTCACACCCACCAGAACGGCTAACATTGAGCCAGGCATTGTGGAACAACAGGTTAAGCTGCCTCCTGCAACGCCAGCATCCCATATGGGTGGCCAGTTTGAGTCCTGGCTACTCCACTTTTTTTTTTTTTTGGACAGGCAGAGTGGACAGTGAGAGAGTGAGAGAGAGAGAGAGAGAGAGACAGAGAGAAAGGTCTTCCTTTGCCGTTGGTTCACCCTCCAATGGCCGCCGCGGCCAGCGCACTGCGCTGATCCGATGGCAGCAGCCAGGTACTTATCCTGGTCTCCCATGGGGTGCAGGGCCCAAGCACTTGGGCCATCCTCCACTGCACTCCCTGGCCACAGCAGAGAGCTGGCCTGGAAGAGGGGCAACCGGGACAGAATCCGGCGCCCCGACCGGGACTAGAACCCAGTGTGCTGGCGCCGCTAGGTGGAGGATTAGCCTAGTGAGCCGCGGCGCCGGCCCTACTCCACTTCTGATCCAGCTCCCTGCTAATGTGCCTGGGAAAGCAGTGGAGGATGAACCAAGTGCGTCGGCCCCTGCACCCATGTGGGACTGGGATGAAGCTCCTGGCTTCTACCTGGCCCTGCCTCAGTGGTGGTGGTCATTTGAGGCCTAAACCAATGGACAGAATATATCTCTCTCTCTGTAACTTTGCCTTTCAACTAAATTTAAAAAATAAATTTTAACAACAACAAAAAGAATGGCTAATATCAAAATACAGAAACAAAGGGGCCAGCCTCCACCTGTGGCACCAGCATCCAGTTCGAGACCTAGAGGCTCAACTTCCGATCCAACTCCCTGCTAATGCGCCTAAGAAAAGCAGAAGATGGCCCAAGTGCTTGGGCTCCTGTACCCACATTGGAGACTCAGAAGTTCCTGGCTCCTGGCTTTTGATTGGCCCAGCTCCAGCTGTTGCAGCCACCTGAGGAGCGAACCAGTGGATGGAGGGCCTCTTTGTCTCCCTGCCTCTGCCTCTCTGCAACTCTGCCTTTCAAATAAATAAATGAATCTTCAAATGAATAATAAAAAATAAAGAGAGGGCAACTAGGTACCTGCTCCTTAACATCACTGACTTACTAAACCAAGTTTAAGCCTCTGTGTTCATTCCTCTTTTTGGAAATCAGAAAACATTCACTGATAACATCAAGATTCACGGCAGCACTGCAGGCGGCAGTTTCACCCGCTATGCCACACACCGGCCAAGACCAGGATTGAAATTGTTCGCAGTCACTGAAAAATGACATAGGGCAAGCAGTTGGCACAGTGACTAAGACGCCAGCTGGGATGCCCACACCCAATATCAGAATGTCTGGTCTGAGTTGGGCTCTGTTTCCCACTCCAGCTTCCTGCTAATGCACACCTGGGGAAGCAGCAGGTGAGGGCTCAAGTGTTTGGGTCTGGACCACCAACAGAGGAGACGCCAATCTGAGTTCCTGGCTCCTAACGTTGGCCTGGCGCAGACCCTCTGCTGCAGACAGGCATCTGAGGAGTGAGCCAGCAAATAGAAGATCGCTCTGTCTTTCAGATAAAACAAAAACTAACAAGGGGGGTGGGTGTTGTGGTGCGCCAAGTTATGCAGCTGCTTGGGAAAGGTGTATCTTGTATCTCAGTGCCAGTTCAAGTTTGGTCAAGTCTAGCTCCTCTACTCTACATCCAGCTCCCTGCTAATGTGCCAGGAAACAGCAATGCCATGTATTTGAGTAGTCTCTGCCACTCAAGTGAGAGAAAAAGATGGAGTTGCAAGCTCCTGGCTCCTGCCTGGCCTGGCTTTTGCAGCATTTGCACAGGGAAGTAGCAAACAGAAGATCTCTCAGGGCCAGTGTTGTCAATCAGTGAGTTAACTCAGGGCCTGTGAGTGCCAGCACCCCAAATGAGTGCCAGTTCAAGTTCCTACTGCTCCACTTCCAATCCAGCTCCCTACTAATGCGCCTGGGAAAGCAGTGGAGGATGGCCCAAGTATTTGGGCTCCTGCCACCCTCGTGGTAGATCCAGATGGAGTTCCTAGTTCCTGACTTTGGCTTGGCCTAGCCCTGGCCACTGTGACCATTTGGGGAATGAACCAGCAGATGAAGATTGAGCTCTCTAACTCTGCCTTTCAGAGAAATAAATCTTAGGGGGAAAAAAAAAAAGAGAGAGATTTCCATATCTCACTCTGTCACTGTGCTTTTCAAATAAATAAGTAAATTTTTAAAGTGAAAAGCATATTTAAGTAGCACTCTGACATCAGAAATAACCCTGAAGGCATTCTGGTCTGGCTGAAAAGCCCACGAGAGCATTTTAGGCAAGGAAAGCCAAGACACAAAAAGTGTCCTACATGAAGGATCTCTGTGAGTGAGACCCCAGTGGAAAGAACAGGCCATCAAAGGATGTACTTTTCTCTGAAGGGAGGCGAGAACTTCTGCTTTGCTTATGGCCTTGTCTAAATACAGAAGGAGTCTGTAGATTTAAAAGGCCTCCATAGCCTAGGCAGCTCATGTCAAGGCAGCTCAGGTGATCACTGAGGTCATACATAAGAGTGTTAATTGTAAATTAACAACAGGAGTCACTGTGCACTAACTTCCCATGCAGGACCTCTGTCCTTAGAGAGTTGTATTATGAGAGTTAATAGTAAAACCTGTTCTCAAAGATTTACTTCAGTTTAGTGTATTAAGTGGAGGATATTTTTATGCTTCATCAGTCTAAGTGCTTGCAAAAAAAGTAGTATCATTCTTGGGTTCTTCTTTAAAGTTAATTTTCTCAAAAAAAGAATGCTTAAAAAAAGTGAAATCAACTTCAAGATGCAATGACTTTGAACAGCCTTCTCAACTGTTCAGGAACAGGTTTTTTTTCTTTTTTATACAATTTGTTGAACTCTTTATTTAGTACAGAGTTAATCTTATGGGTATAAAGTTAATTGAAAATAGATCTTAGTGAAAAATAAGACTGGAACTAGGAGAGGGAGGAAGAAGAGGGTTGGGAGTGTGGGTGGGAGGGTAGGTACAGTGGGAAGAATTATTATATTCCTAAAGTTATGTTTATGAAATGCATGAAGTTGGGGCTGGTGCTGTGGCATAGCGGAAAAAGCTGCTGCCTGCAGTGCTGGCATCCCAAATGGGCGCTGGTTTGACTCCCAGCTGCTCCTCTTCAAATCCAGCTCTCTGCTGTGGCCTGAGAAAGCAGAAGAAGATGGTCCAAGTTCTTGGGCCTCTGCATCCACGTGGAGGACCCAGAAGAAGCTCCTGGCTCCTGGCTCCGGATTGGCTCAGCTCCAGCCATTGCAGCCAATTAGAGAGTGAACCAGCAGATGGAAGCTGGCTTGCTAGCTCTCTCTCTCTCTGCCTCTCCTTCTCTCTCTGTGT